TCTCTCTCTCTCTCTCACACACACACACACACACACACACACACACACACACACACACACACACACATTCTCCTGTCTATTGATGGGGAGCGCCACCTGCTGGAAACTGGGTCCAGCATCCCATGAACATGAACATGGTGAATAAAGCACCAACCGGGACCCCACACACAAACTCTCTTCGAGTTGTGTATAGCGAACATGACAAAACATACACACAGAATAATCACTACCTTACCCTTCCCCAACCACATCAACAAACAAACTACAGGCTGCGCACCCATGCCCTCATGGCAAGTCAATTCCTACTCCAGCGGGGACCACCATCTTGACCAATTTCCGTTACAGGAAAAATTTGCCAATTTCCTTTAGAGGAAAAGCTTACCAATTTCCCTTACAGGAAAAACTTACCAATTTCCATTACAGGAAAAACTTACCTGTCCCTACTTCTTGACAATAAAGACCACCTTCCTTCCCTCACCTGCCACGAGGGCGTTCCTTGCTCCCACGTGGAAGAAGGGGCCATCACAAATTCCCTGGACGACAAACAAACGAAGAGCAACAAACCCCTGTAGAGAGGAGGGGAAAGCCTCAGCAGCCAGCGGAAACCGAGCACCGGCTCGCATGCCTACTCCCTCCTCCCCGACAGAAACACATCCCTTCAAGTTGGTACAAAAAAAAAAAAAAAAAAAAAAAAAAAAAAAAAAAAACCTGTTCGTGCGCCATGACCGTCTGGAGCCTGCTCAGCTGCTGTCCCCTACTACCGGAGCCCGCCGTAGCGCGGCGACGGAACGCTCAGTTCCACTTGGTCCCACATGATTGACTTAGTTCCACTCGGTCCCACGGTTGTAACGATTGACTTAGTTCCACTCGGTCCCGCGAGAGTGGTACCGAGAGTGCAAGGCAAGTATCAGATCCACGAAACACGCCCTCCCCGGGGGAGGGGGAGGGGGCAAAATATATCGTCAAGAAAGAATTAGACCCCACTCACGTGTCCTCCATTGATCGAATTGACTTGCAACGAGGGTATATGTGACACGTGGATTGATGTCATTCTTGCCCTCTCTCTCTCTCTCTCTCTCTCTCTCTCTCTCTCTCTCTCTCTCTCTCTCTCCCCCTCCCCCTCCCTCCCTCCATCTCGCATTCGTGTAGCCATGCCACGTGTAGCACATCCCTTGAGCGAGCTGATTGCTCTGAGGGTAGCAGGTGCGCGTCAGGGGGAAGGCGGTTGCAACAGACACAGGCATCGTAAAAAAAATGAGCACGAAGTCGGGATCGTGGCCACCTTTGTCTTACGTACTTCAACACGTGTTCGACGGATCTAGCCGGGACGCAAGAAGCACGGTCATCTGTCCCCATCTTTCCCCC